CTAGGGTAATAGAAGCTAGAACTAACGTAGAAGTAAGAATTAACAAGTGCGCAAGTAAAAAACACGGGCTGGCTTTAGAACTAGCAATGTGTGGGCTAGAACTGGCCGTATACAAGCTAGAACTAAGGTAATAGAAGCTAGAATTAACGTAGAAGCATGAATTAACAAGTGCGCAAGCAAAAAACGAGGGCTGGGTTTAGAACTAGCAAGATGTGGGCTAGAACTGGCTGTATACAAGCTAGAACTAGGGTAGTAGAAGCATGAATTAACAAGTGTGCAAGCACAAAACACGGGCTGAGTTTAGAACTAGTAAGATGCGGGCTAGATCTGGTTTTATACAAGCTAGAACTAGGGTAATAGAAGCTAGAACTAACGTAGAAGCATGAATTAACAAGTGCGAAAGCAAAAAACACGGGCTGGATTTAGAACTAGCAAGGTGTGGGCTAAAACTGGCTGTATACAAGCTAGAACTAGGGTAATAGAAGCTAGAACTAACGTAGAAGCTAGAATTAACAAGTGCGCAAGCAAAAAACGAGGGCTGAGTTTAGAACTAGCAAGATGTGGGCTAGAACTGGCTGTATACAAGCTAGAACTAGGGTAGTAGAAGCATGAATTAACAAGTGTGCAAGCAAAAAACGCGGGCTGGGTTTAGAACTAGCAAGATGTGGGTTAGAACTGACTATATACAAGCTAGAACTAGGGTAATAGAAGTTAGAACTAACGTAGAAGCAAGAATTAACAAGTGCGCAAGCAAAAAACGCGGGCTGGGTTTAGAACTAGCAAGATGTGGGCTAGAACTGGCTGTATACAAGCTAGAACTAGGGTAATAGAAGCTAGAACTAACGTAGAAGCATGAATTAACAAGTGCGCAAGCAAAAAACACGGGCTGGATTTAGAACTAGCAAGGTGTGGGCTAGAACTGGCTGTATACAAGCTAGAACTAGGATAATAGAAGCTAGAACTAACGTAGAAGGAAGAATTAACAAGTGTGCTTGTAAAAAACACGAGCTGGGTTTAGAACTAACAAGGTGTGGGCTAGAACTGGCTTTATACAAGCTAGAACTAGGGTAATAGAAGCTAGAACTAACGTAGAATTAAGAATTAACTAGTGTGCATGTAAAAAACGAGGGCTGAGTTTAGAACTAGTAAGGTGTGGGCTAGAACTGACTGTATACAAGCTAGAACTAGGGTAATAGAAGCTAGAACTAATGTAGAAGCATGAATTAACAAGTGCGCAAGCAAAAAACGAGGGCTGGGTTTAGAACTAACAAGAATTAACAAGTTATGGGCTAGAACTGGCAGTATATAAGCTAGAACTAGCGTAGTAGAGGAGAGAACTAACGTAAAAGCAAGAATTAACAAGTGTGCATATAAAAAAAGCGGGCTGATTTAGAACTAGCAAGTTGTGGGCTAGAACTGGCTGTATACAAGCTAAAACTAGGGTAATAGAAGCTAGAACTAACGTAAAAACATGAATTAACAAGTGCGCAAGCAAAAAACACGGGCTGGGTTTAGAACTAGGAAGGAGTGGGCTAGAACTGGTTGTATAAAAGCTAGAACTAGGGTAATAGAAGCTAGAACTAACGTAGAAGCAAGAATTAACAAGTGCGCATGAAAAAAACGCACCTTCTTAGTTCTAACTCGTACCTTCTTAGTTCTAGCTCGTACCATGCTAGTTCTAGCCCGCACTATGTTAGTTCTAGCTAGTTCTAGCTCTAATTCATCTTAATTTTAAGCTCTTGGGTCCTCAAGTTAGTTCTACCCCGCACCTTTTTAGTTCTAGTCCGCACCATGCTAGCTCTAACCCGTACTATGTTAGTTCTAACTAGTTTTAGCTCTAATTCATCTTAGTTCTAGGCTCTTGGGAACGGAGAAAAGCTCCTCCCACCTTCGGCGGAGCCCACCGAGACACCCCGACGACCCCGACAACCTTCTCCTACCTCCGGCAAGCCCGGACAGCGTTGAAAAACTCCGAACAGCGAAGAACAAACCCGAACGGCGAGAAATTGCACTGCAAAAAACTGCAGTTTTGTGCCAACTTCGCACGCACTTTCCGATCACCTCCAATCTCTGTTTCTGCCGATTTCTTCTTTGGTGAGTAGCCTTATATGTTGCCTGTCACCTCCAATTTGTATCACGCTCTAACTCATTCTCTATCTCTCTCGGTAACGTCCGAAACATCGCTCGATGGCAGCAGCGAGCAGAAAACAGCAGCGTCGTGCCGACTTCGCGCGCGTTTTTCGGCCACCTCCGGTCTCCGTTTTCACCACCGTCTTCGCCGGTGTGTAGCCCTTTATATTGTCTATCACACGGTATTTTCCTTTCACTTGGGCTCATTTTCTACTTCTCGTTATATCGCTTCGAATATTATTAGTTCTAACTTGCCCCAACTTGCTAGAACTAACATAGTGCGGGCTAGAACTAGCATGGTGCGGGTTAGAACTAAGAAGGTGCGGGTTAGAACTAACTTGAGGGTCCAAGAACCTAGAACTAAGATGAATTAGAGCTAGAACTAACATAGTGCGGGCTAGAACTAGCATAGAGAATCTACTCCGACCAATTCATTGCCAAATAAACGCAATAATGGAGAATTTACTCCGACCAATTCATTGCCCAAGAGCCCAAGTCCAAAAGAGAGGAATTCAAAGGTTTCGATGCAAGCTTAAATAATATTTTGATTAATTACCATCAGAATCAACATCACTTTGTTCTCCTGAATATTGTTGATTAATTACCATCAGAATCAACATCACTTTGTTCTCCTGAATATTGAAAAAGCCAAAAAAACATTTGTTGTCGTGAAAGTTGATGCTGGGCACTTGTTCTCCTGAATATTGAAAAAGCCAAAAAAACATTTGTTGTCGTGAAAGTTGATGCTGGGCACGATCAACATGTGATGCGATATATGTTAGTCTAAGTTGTTGAAGACCTGTATCTTCTTCTTGGCAAGCATCCGGGTTGATGGCATCCCGACAACGTTGATGGCGAACTCGAGGGCAAGGTAGTTAGCGACAGTGGTGAACTCCGGCGTAGTCAAGGGCGAGGCAGGGAGCGGCGGCGAGCAACGATGACGAGGCAGGGCGAAGGAGAGGAGGGGAAGTGGTTGGGAACTTGAGGGCCCAACTCGCGAGCTAGGGCGCGGATTTGGAGCCCGACGTCGTCGTGAAGGGCGTAGTCACGGGCAGGAATGGAGCTTGAGAGCTTGAGAGAGAGGAGAGAGGAGATGAGAGAGAGAGAGAGAGAGAGAGAGAGAGAGAGAGAGAGAGAGAGAGATGAGAGAGAGGAGAGAGGAGATGAGAGAGAGAGAGAGAGAGAGAGAGAGAGAGAGAGAGGAGATGAGAGCCCGACGTCGTCGTGAAGGGCATAGTCGCGGGCAGGAATGGGGCTTAAGAGCTTGAGAGAGAGAGGAGAGAGAGAGAGGAGAGAGAGAGAGAGAGAGCTGATTTGAGGGATTGAGGAGAGAGGATAAGGATAATTTGGGGATTTTAGCTTAGCTGGCATGTAATAATTGCTAAAAAGGGATTGCAGTACAAAGTGTCACACTTCAAGGGGCTGATCCACATGGGGGAAACTATGAGGGGCCTCGTCACATGAAGTTTCTGCTTTTGGGGTCTGGACACAATTTTCCCAATAGTTTTTCTATACAAATGGATATTTCAGACCAATTATAATTTTTTGTTGAACAAAATTTTAAAATCGACACATTTAAAAAAAATTACAAAAAATCGACCCATTTACAACATATTTGTCAAAACTATTCAGTTTAAGCGAAATTGGGTCGGTTTTGACAAAAAAATTTACGAAACTTCACGTGACTTCAAGTCCCGTGAAGTTTTGTTACCCAGTTTCAGCTAAATGGCTAAAACTATGCCGATTTTGACAAATATATTGTAAATGGATCGATTTTCATAATTTGTCCTTGTTTGTTTTGCAAAAATCAGTTGTTTCCTTCAATTCTATGTTCTGATACTTATCTTTTGGCTGAATATCATAAAACCGTCCTTAATTTTAGACAATTAAAAATATTAGAAAACCTTCCTTTAAGTTTAGAGGTTATCAAAAAACCTCCTTTACTTTTAAGATTTTATTAGGGACATTTTCTGATAAAATATCAAACTTAAAAGAACTTTTATGATAAAATCTAAAGTAAAAGGGGTATTGTGATTATCCTTACATTTAAATGTGGTTTTTTGATATTTTGAAAGTTAAGAGGGGTTTCCCATAATCATCCAAAGTTTTTGTCTATGTGTGTGGGTGGATTTGCCCTTTATCTTTCGTTCCGTTTTTCGATGAAAGGGGAAATTGCATTTTTGAATCTTCATGAAATGGAATCTAAAAAAAAAATTCTTTCGCAAATGGAAAGCTTACATAGTGAGAGATTTCCTTCATGCATCAAGTGATTGCAAAATAATACAAAGATCACACAAAGATGATTGGAAGTAGGGGTACATACGGCTTGAATACGTTACTCATCATATCTCTGTCCATTTGTCATTCACAGATATGGATACAAATATACATCGGTAAGAAAAACTCATATTCATATCTGCTAAAATCAGATACATATGTGAATATACATAAGGATATATATGCGGATACAAAATGGATATGAGGAAGCCAAGTAATATCGAAAAAAAAAAGTTCATATGACACAAGAGAGTTCATTAATATATTCCTTATATATCTGAAAAGCCAAGATTGACTCTTTTCATCATCAAAATTAGTCTCAAATCCATTAGTCCATCAATGGGTTAAAAACACTTGTAACTATATGATAACATACGTTCGGATATTTTTGATACGGATCCGGATAATTCACTATCCGTAACTATATCTTATCGGTTATAGATTTTAGTAACCATATCCATATTCTAACGGATACGAATATGTCCTCACATATGAATATTTTTATGCATCTCTAACTGGAAGCCAACAAAATACAAGTGTCATTTTCCCCAATAGAGCTCTATAAATATTTACAGAATCACTGAAGCCTCAGATACTCGGAGAAATAAATTTTAATGTTTATTCTTCTTCTTTTCATCGTACAAACTCTAATATATACATCCATGCATGGATACTCTTGCTATTTGCAAGGAAACTTTTCAAAACATACACACAAGCTATATATATATACCCTCCCAACCTCCTCTACAACATATTTATCAATATGTGGTTTAGCACTATAAGATTTTTGAGCACTTTCATATTTACCAACACTCCAGCTTATTTGCAACGATCACATTCCATGCGCTCTTCCTGAATTTATCAAATTAAAAAAAGGTTACCAAAGTCCAAGTCATATGATTTTAAGTTACTATAGTGTAAATTTTGGAAACCACCCCTTAAGTTTGGGCGTTCCTCATATAACACCTCTTAACTTTCAAAATATCAAAAAATAAAAATAAAAATAAAAAAGGAGCCCCAACAGCCAACATCGTTATACACAATTTTCACATGGGTGGATGAAATCACGCAGCGTTTTTGCTCGGGAAAATTGTGGTTCACACTTTTCTGAAATTTTAAAAGTCACAGGGGCTATGAAATGCCCCAACTTAAGGGGGGGTCTTATGAAATTACACTTACAATAAAGTCTACTTGCTCACCTCATTTTGATGCGCCGATTGATGTGCCCTTTGAAAACGGCATGCATGAGGAGTGATGTGACCAAGGTTAGCTACACGCTGGAAGAAGGCTTGGACATGGTTGTATGTGCTGTAGTATTTTGATGAATCATTAATAATGATAGCAATAAAGTTTCAAAGATAATTATTTAAACAATATGCTTAATTCTAAGAGAGTCAAACTTTTCAAAGATGATTCGCGTGACACTATCCATACAGATAAACTGGTAAGGTAAAGTTTATCGTCAGTGCATTCACATTTTCAACAAATCTATGTTTCCTTGAGATCATGTAAAATATACTGCAAAAAATAGTTAAATTACGATTAGATATGAGAGCCTTCATTTACAGTTAAAAGGACGATATAATTATAGTGATGGTTGGTATGACTACACAGGACTTGAACCTTTCTTTAGTTATTTATTTAACATTATGTTAAGGTCAAACATGAATTTACTATGGAAAAATGAAAGTTCCTATGCTTAAAGTCAGAGTTCAACTATTTTTACATGTGATATTTATGAAAATTTCAGATTGGAACTAACAAAAAAAGCTTTTCCTATATTGACCACTCAAATTTAAGTGCATACTAGTATTTGGGATAACTCAAACCTAAATATCAATAAGAAGCTATAGAAATTAACTTATTAGATAACATTCTATGACTTCTTGCAAGTCTTCTTAGTATAATTACCAGAAAAGAAGACACCACACAGCCTTTTTTTTCTCAAAATTTAAGCAAGAACATTTTCTTCCATTCAGATGCATTAAGGGTCATTCCTCTATTAAATTAACAAATATGTAAATAATTCAATACCTTAGCCTATGCCGATTGCAGGCCAGGAAGAAAGTGGCCATACCATTTATGACACTCCGTGCACCTCGAAATACCTAAGAATGCAAAAGATATCAGTCCCTTGGGCCAAAATAAGACTGAATTAATGGGGAAAAGAAACCTACAAGGTCCTCTATACAAAATTATACCGGGAGCAACTAGGTCTTGAGATGTGATCAATTCAACGCTAATCTTAAAGTTTGTGGTTAATAACTGTCCAACTTTATTTTGTTGTTGGGATATGTCATTTCTGGAACTTCAGATTGTGACAAGTGTTAAGAGCCACTTCCTCTTAATTGTATCATTTTCTAATTATATCATTTTGTATAGAGGACCCTCTATAGGATATTTTGTTGGGTAAATATCACTTAAACGCCTGAAGTGAGGTGTTTTGCACATAACCCTAAATCATCGTGAACTTTGTTTACTCCACTTAACCCTACTGAATTTCTCCAACAAAAAAAAAGTAACACCGTGAACTTCTGATCGGTTACGTGCCAACCATGTGATAGAAAAGGATGAAAATCATATTTATTAAACATTACCCTTTGTCCTTTGTTTCATTTTTAGGGGAGATATTTAAAAAGGGTATTTTGGTCATTCAACCATTCAGAGGTAATGATGTCAGGGGGCACATCAGAAAAACTTCAAAGTTCAAGGGGTTAAGTGGAATAAACAAAGTTTAAGGAGACTATGATGCAAAACCAATCAAAGTTCTGGGTGATAAGTGAAATTTACCCTTTTTCCTAATTAATTGAGCACAGTTAAAAAGGTATCGTGGTAAACCTGAGAAAAGAGATCTCTCCAAAGCCCCTGCCATATCGAGATATCATATGCACCTTTCTTTGCTCCTGATAAAGCTGCAGTTTTAAAAATGCCTGTAGTTTGGAAAATGCCTCTGATTGACTCCCAAACATCTTTGAACAGTTCAAAAATATTGCACAGTAATACTGCCATGTAGTCTGCTAGTGTTAACACACAGCGGATGGGTACCAGAATAAAATCCCAGATGATAGATACGAGTGGATAGAGTAATGTTACTGCACTTTCAAGAACGAAAAAGAAAAGGATTAGGACATGAGAACAATGAGAATTTGTACTAATGTGCTTATCTTCACTAGTAAACTAGAAGATAAATAAGTGTAATGCAAATGTGGGCACTCATAGAATCTAAAAAGCTTTACCCCCCAAGATATTAGTCCCTTAAATATTACATATTTTGAAATTAGTCCCTCAAAATTATTGAAATTGCTATTAGATCCCCTAATTCTTAGGCTCCTAGGAGTTTTTTTTCAAAAGTCATTTTTTGCTAAATAATTAGCAAAACCAACTGTTTTACTAATTATTTAGCAAAACCGAATGAGGTTGGTTTCGCAAAATGGGATTTTCGAAACATACGAGACTAGTAGCCCGACGTGAGAGTATTGCTTTTTCAGCCTACGCTTGCCATATGTTTAGTGGTCACTAATTGGCCACTTAATTGATCTCAGAAAACCCACAACACTACTAGTCCCATGGATTTTCTAAAGCCCCATTCAAAACGTACATGACTACTAGTCTCATACGTTAAGCAGAGACTTGGTGCAGAGTTAGCCCAGCAAATCCATGAGACTAGTAGTCCCGTGGATTTGTCGGGCTATATAAGCCCGGTTGTGCCCAACAATTAGGACACAACCTTCTCTCTCTAACCACCCCGATCTCTCACCTCTATTTACCTCGATTTTCATCCACCCTCTCTCAATCTCTCTTCCTCAATAACCCTAACCTCATTTTATTTATTCTCTCCAAAATCACCGCTTTCTCCCTTAATTTTCTCTCTTATTCTCACCAAACTCATTCTCTCCAAAATCATTCTCTCCAAACCCAAATAGAGATCCTCGCTAAAGTTGCATTGTTGAAGTCCGATGTCGTCTCCTCTCTGACGCCGACAAATTTTAGATCTTCATCAAGTTATAAATTTCGATTTCCTAATTTTCTCTCTATTATTTAGTTAAAATTATAGTTTGGAAATAACTATATATTTAGAATAATTTTTTTAAATATGATATACAATGGGATTTGGTTAAATTTTGATAGATTAAAATTTGTTAGATTAAAGTTTGATAAATAATTTGCATAAGATAAATGTTAATATTTCAGTTTGAATGGTGAATGGAATACCAATTATTTACTTATTCAATGGGAAACTGAGTGTTAGAATGAATAATATGCCTATATATGAGGGAGGATCTAGAAAAATATTCATGTTATCTAGAAATTGTAACTTCGATAAAATGATTGAGCGATTATACAAAGTTACTAGAGTTAATCATGGAGAGTATGCCACTAAGGTCTTCTGTAATTGTCCGATAAAAAAAAAACAATTGCTGTAGAGATCACCAATGATCAAGAACTAAGTGACATGAAACAACTTGCAAAAAACCAAATCCCAATCGAGTTGTTCATTGAAAATATTCTAATATTCGGTGTTGCCCAAGTTTCATATGCGCTCCAGGAGAGTTCTCCTGCATACTTGACTTAGAAAATAACTCGAACGAATTTATTTCATCTCCAAGGGCCTTACACTTAGAAAATGACTCGGGTACAATGTCAAGTGATGTGTTTCACAACGCATCGGGTCATGTTTCAGTTAATTTACTAGTTGGTTCTATTGTAGAAAAGGATGAGGATATAGATGATGATTATGGAGATGCTAAAGAGGAGGAACGTCTTGATAGTATGCGGTGTGCAATTGGAGGAACCGATGAGGACACCCGTTGGATGGATGAATATTGTGTAAACAACGATTATGTTAAGTCTGAAGAACCATTGCCAAAAGAGTTTCAAAATGAGGAGTCGATAAATGCCTCACAAGCTGAGTTCGTTGAGCTTGGTCCTAATAGCGAACGACCCGAGGACTTCACTTTCAAAAAAGGAGATATTTTCGAGAATAAAAAAACTTTGTTTTTCGCTATACGTGAATAGTCAATCAAGAATCGGGTCAAATTCAAGCCAGTGAAAACTAATACAACTAACTATCATGTAAAGTGCTACTTCAACAAGAAAGCTCAAGGAGAGTATGCAAGTGCTCAAGACGAGAGAAATTCAAAGTGTCCATGAAAGCTTAATGCAACGATTAGAAAAAAATCTAATGGGCAATTTATGATCTCTAGTTATTACGGACTTCATACATGTTGCAATCCAACTATCAATGCCAATCATAAGGAAGCAACTTTCATTTATATATTGAAGCTAATTATGCCCGCAGTTAAGTGAGAGCTTGATCTTACTCCAAGTCAGATAATTACAAGGGTATATGATATGAGAAAAATAACTATATCCAAATACTTTGAAAGTTGACCAAAATCTTTGGAGATTGGAAGAAATCTTACGAATTACTACCGCAATATCTTGAAGCAATTAAAAGAAAAAATCTAGGTTCCGAATACAAAATAGTCTAAAGCGATTGCGCCGGGAATGGAAAGGTTCATGCGAGTATTTTGGGCATTTGGACCCAGTATCAAAGGGTTCTCTTTTTGTTGTCCGCTCTTGAGCATTGATGACACATATTTATACGACAAATACAAAGGAGTGCTCTTGGTTGCGACCGATGTAGACGCAAATGGTGGTCTATTTCCATTGGCTTTCGCAGTTGTGGAGGTGAAGGATACATCGAGTTGAAAGTGATTTTTTTAATGTATTTACAGATTCATCCCTACTGTTCAAAATCCTAGAATGATTACTTTTATTTCTGACTGGATGAAAGAAATTCCACGAGCCTTGCGTGAGGGATTTCGAGCACCACATCATCATCGGTATTGCTTGCGGCATATAAGAGATAATTTTAAGAAAAAATATGAAGAGGTCAATTTACAAAATCTATTGTGGCAAGCCGGGTGTGCAGCCGACACACTGATATATGAGCATCGTAGGGAGAAAATTAAGTCCATATCAGTTGAAGCATATAACTGGATTGAACAAAACTTGAAGCCGCAATACGAAGATCGGTGGGTATTACGTAGAGATGGTGAGTGCATTATTGTATGATGATAACTAATTGCTCTGAAAGTTTCAATGACGTACTCAAAGGTGTCCGTGCTATGCCAATTCAAGTCTTGGTTGCAAGGACGTTTTATAAAATAAACGCATACTGTAATAAGAGACGTGATGATGATGCAAATTGGACGATAAGTTACACTCCAAAAAATGAGAGTATTCTGTAGAAAATGATTATGGTCGTAAGATCATCTAGAATTACTCCATTCAACGATAATAAATGAGAGGTTAAAGATTGTAAAGGTATTTACACAGTCCATCTCTATGACCAGGAGTGTAGTTGTACTTTTAATATACCACAATTATAAAAACTACCATGTGAACATGTTTTAACGGCTAGTTCCAATCAAGATGGTGGTGCTAGATTGTCTTATGATAGGTATTGCTCAGCTTAGCATTCAATAAATCATTATCGAAAGGCTTATAAGTAGAGTTTTCATCCTCCCAACAATAATCGTTATTAGTCGCTTTATAATGGACCATGTATATTACCACCTCAATACAAAAAACAAGCGGGACGACCTCGCTCCGTGCGCATTAGAGGTACCATGGACCAAGACCAAGAAGGAGTAGCATTGCGATTTAAATGTGGACAATGTAATCAATTAGGCCATTATAGGTCTCGTTGTCCATCAAGAACAAGTACATAGTAATTAATTGGTAATATATTTTCTATCTCTATTTTCATTATCGTTATAGACTTATTCATTATTATAGTCTTATTGATTCTACAAGAACTAATAAGTTAACAATTATATGTTCAAGTATATACACTATGCATCCCGAGCCGGTAAGTGGTGAAGACCTATTTTCATTATCGTTATAGACTTATTCATTATTATAGTCTTATTGATTCTACAAGAACTAATAAGTTAACAATTATGAGTTGTTAGGACTATCTCCGGAGTCCTTGCCTCGGGGATATATTAGATTGAAGTGGCTAAAAGAAAAATTCGCAAACCCCTTATCAGAAGATGCATCACAGGTCACGATCCAGTAACATACTCGTGCATATATTTTGCATATGATTGGGACGCTTCTTCTTCCCGATTCAAGTAAACATAAAGTACATTTGAGGTAAAACAGCTTGTTTTTCATATAATGAACTATATTGGTCGTTTTTCCTAGATTTTAACTCATTATTCACAAAATACGACTAAATGCATTTGTCATGTGATAGGTGGTTAACGCTTCTCCAGGACTTCGACAGGTGCGGGACATTATCATGACGTAGTGCTGTTTTAGCATACCTATATAGAGAAATGTCGAAGGTTGATTTTATGCAAAATAAAGAGCTCAATGAGTGCTTGACATTGTTAAAAGTTTGGACATAGGAGAGATTGATTTTGAGACCAAGATTATGTGAGATGTGAGTTTTAGATGGACAAATTCTCTTGGGCAACAGGTAAACAATTTCGAATCTAATTAAAGAATTTAATTTTGAATTTTATATTTGGAATTAGAATCTAACCTTCTATCATATACGTAGATGGAACGTCATTAAAGTATATGATGAGGCCCCGGCAAGACAGTTAGATTTTTATAGAGGAGAGCTCAACCGAATGGATATTTATCATGTATCAAAATTTTGAATTTAAGTCAATTTAAGCTAGTTACTAATGATAATTTATATTTTGTAGTTTGAGTGGCGGCCATACGACACTTTTCTACCTCGTCTACCACTGATTTGCATGGAGGGACATAGTATATGGAGAGCCAGAGTTCCTCTTATTTGCTTTAAAATTATGGAGATGCATGTACCGGATCGCATACTTAGGCAGTTTGGTTTCACACAGCACGCTCCACAACTTGTAGAAAGAATAGAAAGGAAGGCGTCCAAGGGTGGGCATTAAATTGACTGGTCATTTGTGCATAATCAGTACATTGCTAGATGGAAAATGAGCGGCATTGAGCATCGTCGAGTAGATTTATCCTCTTAAGGAGGAAATCGATTATATAAGATGGTATTGAGGGATTACTAGAAGATGATGAATAATCACTCAAA